CAGATCGTGAGAGATGGTTGGATGGACTGCTTCCACATAATTGGGTCTTAATTGTTCCCCGCTTGGAATATGGGTTTTTTCGGGAGCCGATTATCAATTGCTCAGTTGGTGGAGAACCGTTCATATATCGTTTGTTCTGCCATGGAATTCTAGTTAAATGCCTGCTTTTGAGCACACAAAAGGGGTGTTTGTAGACTTTTACTAACTACCTCTGTGGCTAGAACACAGAACATCATGTGCCTAGACAGTCCTAGTTTGACTGCAATCAGGGAATGAAACGCTTCCGTCAAAAAGGTACGAAAACACCGCACTTGTTATCGATTTTGTACTTTTTCGAGTTCACCAGTGATTGTTTCCTAGGTGCGGATTACTACGGCTCTTTTGCACAAACAGAATATGAATTTTTTTTTAAACTGATTGATGCACAGATTCGTAAATGAGAAAACTCTCTTATGTATGGACCGTCTAATTGACCCATCATCAAGGCGAGTTAGGCATGTTTTCAAATAGGATAGCATATTAGCCGCTCCTGACTTCTAGCACCAATTTCACATTCCGGTGTGCGTCATATAAAAAAATCGATGATGTCTGCAATTTGTTCCGGAGTCGACCGTAAACATAATGTCATCCAAATAAAGTTCGTACACACTGGTTTATGTTGAGTTGGGGTTGACATAAAACGTCAGCAAACAGGACCTCTACGGCAATCCCATGCCCCTGGCAATAGCACAATTTCTCGTATAGAAAAAGACCGATTGATTCCAACTACCTGGAAGTAAGCCTATTGCTATTTGGTTGCTTTCTGTGTATTCACATAAGTAAATAACAGCCTTGCGTATCGGAATGTTCAGGAAAAGCGATGTGACATCCAGTAAAAATGTGTGGTTTTTCCGAGTAATGTACTGTTTGAACGGGTCTCAATGCATCCTCCGCACTGGGCTTAGCAGCTGTCATCCTCACAGATTCCAATAAACTGGACAGCACACCAAGGGGACTACAGCTGCGTGCATCGATGTGTGTATGTGCTACTTTCACCGCAATTGTTTGTCACTTTTTCTGTTGTAACTTACCGTCCAGTTATTGTAAGTCTATCACATATGAAGTGATTCACATTAGCGTAATGCGCCTTTCATCAAGTCTGTACAATTTTGTGGATAGTCAAACCTATATGGTCTGTATTAATGAACCCCTTAGGCTTGAATGGATCTACAGCTGACTAGCTCATTAAGTCAACCCGCCCATAATATTATCGAAACAGTGTCAAAGTGCAATCTTTTCATCCAGTTTTATGCAAATATAATGTATCTTTATTCCACACGTAACAATTTCGCCTATCTAAGCATCCATTAGAATCACTACCGGGCGGCTGGGTTTTCTGGGTCTGGATGCTTTACCGTTTACTAATTTGTAACATATATATATATAATGTTTCTGATGCGTATTTACCCTTCGCACCTAGTGAAGCCTTCACTCATCTGTATTCAGTAGCACAAGGTTCGTTCGAACCATCCGGATGGGTTTTAACCGGAATAAAGTGAGATTTTCAAAGCGGGCAGCGGCACAGTCTACGGTCTGGTGACAACTTGATATTGAGATTAGAGAAACGACTCCGTTTTGATTGAGACTAAGGCCTATTCAGATTGATTGATGGGGTAACAAATCATTAGTGTATTTTATTGATGAGTTCATCGTACCAACCCTTTTGTCAGTTTTGAATTCGCCTTCGCCCTTACACCATTTTCAATACCGGGATGAAGCTAGCATGGTATGGGAAGACCAACGGACCGAAACCACACACTGTGACGCTTCATGTTGCAAATCAGGGACCGATTTTTTTATGTTATCCTCGTCAGCCTCATACAACGAGATCCAGAGAAGTGAACTTCACTGATCGTTGCCAAGCTCTCAATGTACTGTCACGACGAAACTCAACCTTGAAGTCGTGTGATGGCTTTTGTATCTCTCTAACCCCGAGGGCTAGACATAATGGCTTTTGTCAAGCCGAAGATCTAATCATGCTTGGAAGGTCAGAGGGTAGAGGTCAGACAAAGCCCAGTCTCCTGATCCTTCAGGTTGGCGATTCGACTCGAATCAGCGTCTTAGTCCGTAAACGTGCTCGAGTAGTAAGTGATCCGAGTGAATGGGCCTCCACTCCGTCTTACCAGGATGCCTTATGATTATATTCTTGTCAGAACCAAAGGCTTTCGTTGAGAACCCTAACCGTTCTCCTGTTTAATGGCTGGATACCCTAGCAGTAACCGATCATAAAGCCTCAATGAATTTCCTTGTGTGCCGTAATCTGTTTGCCATGCAATCTGGACTCATATGCGTGTGAAAAATAGTTATAATTATATAATGTAATGTAATATAATCAGCATATCAATTCTCGAAATTGATAGCACAAGTTCATTGAAATGAATTATAGATACAGTGTCTAGCACACGCAAGAAAGACCACATATCAGTCAACATCCTTGAAAACATCTAGAGGCACTCGAACCAGCAATTGAGAACACGTAATCCAGCTGCATTTACTCTCCGTGACACAGAGCTTTGGGATGAACTGCCAAAGTGTCAAAAACTCCAATCGCGGGGCCCGGAAACCTTAGTCTAAGGACTTGTATTGGTCAACCAGTTAAGATCGCAACAAGTCAGTTGTGTTATTTAGCCGCAGATGCTTATCACCCGGTTGCAAACACGGTACATAAATCTGGAAAGTTTAGAGTCAAAAGAATTAACGTAAAACCAGTGCTCAGGGATCGGTGAGCATCACAAGTAAAAAAGTTTCTTTTCATTGAGTTGACAAGCATTGCTGTTGCTCCTAATACAGTTTACTGGGACTGTCATTAGACTTTTCGTAGATCTTGCTTCTTAGTCCGGTAGAGGTTCGTTCGAAAGCAACACAACAAAGTAGGTGATTAAATACCAGACTATGAATGAATACGGATATCTAAGTAAGTCCCAACACCTGGGACACCGTTTGCTGGTTCCTATGACTAAGAGGTTCATCCCTCCTGTTTGGGGCGACATTTAAGGTATACTGAGGCCAATCTACATGATGCGGTATGTTCCAGTAACAATTAGGTTCTATTTCTGGAGAAGCAGAAACACCGTATTGCGATTAGAAAGCTGCCTACGGAGTTGAAAAAGAACACAGATGTACAGTTTTGCCTAATTTATTTCCTGAAAAATTCCTTCGTATCTCTTCAGTCACATACTACAGTCAAAGAATATAATGAAAATTAACAAGTAACATTTACCGCGGGTGAGTCGCTGGTGTTATCTTCACCCATCTTTCTACCAAGGTGCGGCTAAAGTTATAAATAACTGTTTCTGCTTGCAAAGTTCAGGCTTCCATCATTTTATAGCAGTCACCTCTGCAAACTAGAGCAACCAAGAGTTGTGCATGATGGAAACACTTTCAAATGCCATAGTCACGTTTATTTGATGTCCAGTCTCTAACAGGTAATGAGCGAGTGATGACGCTGGGTTGGGTTGACCATAGACCTTGATCATTCGGGTGAGTCGTTCACCAGTTTGCTAACCCACACAGGGATGTGTTCGGCTATTCTTTGTCTAATCTGCCGCTCGGTTGCCTAGGAAGGTGGCCGAGCACCCACAGATGAATTGGTACAATTGATAGGTTTTGGTAAATGTTACTTGTTAGTTTTCATTATATTCTTTGACTGTATTATGTACCTGAAGAGATAAGGCGAAATTTTTCCCGGAATAAACTGTGCAGCACTGTGTTGCCGTGTTCTTTATTCAAGTGCATGTCAGGAAAAGGTTGGTTCTATTTTCTCAAAAACCTATGAAGTTGTAGGCTGTATTTTGTGAGGAGAAAAAACTGTTTCTACTTAAATTTAATAAATACACTAACAATACCATAGGTTCTCTTATGAATTCCAGGAAAAACGTGCAATTCAACAGGGCCTCGTTTGCACCGTGCCCTTGATTCGAAAAGAAAAACGTGAATACAAGAAATTTAGTAGCCTACTTTGGACCAATACGGAAAAAAAGAAAGCATTTCGATCGTTTACAATTCTTTTCCTGTGGATGCTCAGTTTGAGTGTGGTTCTGTTTGCTGACTATTCCATGTATCAAGTCCTGATCACAATCATGCCCATGTTCTCCACAAACTTTGCCTCCTACGGGGCGGGGGCAAAACTGGGCAAAGAGTTTGAACCGGAAGGAACCAGCACTATCACGAAGCCAGAAATCCGTGGAGAGTCATCTTATGCGAACATGGTACGTACCATGGTCTCTATGCTCAATCCGATAAAGGATATTGCGTTGGATGTGGATGCCGAAGCGTGCAGACCGATCGCAAATCCACCAGACAACTCGACCAACGTCACTGTTGTAGTGATGTTAGTGCTGACCATCTTTTCAATCATTTTTGAGGTAAGTTAGACCGGATTACTTTAATTCACACTACTCGACAGATTGAACGGTTGGAGAATGCAGAAAAGTAAATTATATCCTGACTTAGCTAGGTCCAGTAGGGTAGTACGCTTTGAAATTAAAAGATTCAAAAGAATTTTCGTTATATTTATCAATGGTTTTATGCAATTAAAAATTACTATTAGAAGACATTCTCAGCACACTGTACAAAACAACTTCCATTCGGAAAGTATGTGGGCAGACTTCCGGATGAGTCTGTTTAATGACGGGAGAACTCGAGGGGCAGGAAACCAAGTCACAAATCGACTTTGATTCCAGGCCTAAGTTCAGAATAGTCGGGGGAAAAGCATTTGAGTTATAGAATCCGAGCATCATATCAGTGGGATTTTACACTGGACATCCGGACTTCCTATAGTAAACAGGAGAAGAGATTGACTTGAGATGCGATACTTTTATGAGCAATTTACAGTTAGGATAATCCAGATACAAACCTCGAATCGCGGGGCAGCTCGGAGAGTACGTGCTTGCACTGCCAAACCACCATTAATTGATCATTTGTCTTCAATAACGATATCGGGGTTTAAAATCTTAGCAACCTAACAAGAGACATATGAAGTCCTGTTTTGGCAAAAGAGCCTTCAATGGCTGTGAAAGCGTTGAACTAATCGTATATTCAGCTTAGTTTTTACAATCATTATTTGTGCACTTTCATGACCCTGTTTTGATTGTTGTTATCGTCTGTTGGCGCACGCAATGGGTAACAAACGCACGTGTATAAAGCTCCAATGTCTGACCAATGAAAGATGAGAGATTTCAGTCACTGGTGATGTGAGTAACAGGGATACTCTGTATGTGCAGTGATCCGTGGACCGATGAGTACGTAATACAGTTAGGAGAATATGACTGAGAAAAGTGATCAACTAAACGGTAAAGGGGATACGGGTCACGAATGGGAGAAAACAGTCAAGCCGATCAATTTACCCACTGGATTAACCAAGGTGTAGCGTGCGTGATAAGCAATATGGAGGGCGACAGGAATCAGATAGTAATGAAAGGCAGCTGCAGACCTACTAACGTAGGTTAGGTAACACGCCGGGTGTGAAGAAGATCAGTTTCGTTGGAGAGTGATTCAGATTGAAAACTAGTTTCGGCAGGTAACAACACAATATACGATGACTTCAGCGAGTAAATGAAGCCTAAGCTGAAAAACTAGGAAGTACTGAACAGCTGTTTCGATGAGGTTGGCTCTTATCATCTGAGCGAATCCATCGAAGTACCTGGAGACTGAGCCCGGGACCTCACAGGCAGAACACAAATATAGCTACTACCGACTACTATCGACCACCAGTCCAACGTTTCCTAGGTTTTCAGGTCAAGCTTCATTTACACGATGAATTCATCACTTGACTCAATCAAACCCTCCACTACTTTCACAAAACAGTTAATAAAGGAGGCACTTTTAGCATTTATTATTTTCCATCAGAATCATCATTTATTTTTTAAAAAGTGAATGGTGGATTTTACTTGCAAATCAGAAAGTCGAGTGCAGTATCGGCACGTAGTGTAGCGAAGAGTAACTCAATAAAAGTTGTCAGATATGATGAACTGAACGGGGGAGCAGAGACAGAAATGATGACCGCTCAGTGATCAGCCCAGGATGGTAGTCTTATCTGTGTGGGACCAGTACCTAATACTTGGGGGAGGCTGTTCTAAAGCAGCGTAACCCTATGGGTGAAAGAGTACTGAAGGACAATAGCAGGAAGATGTCAATTCTTATTCAAGGGTGTTCAAATTAAGCAGAGGACGGACGTGACGGATAAGGTGTGAGTTATAGTCTATGTACGAGCTTTGTTGTTCTCTGCTGCACAGGCTCTAGAGCGGTGCAGTTGCTGACCAAACGAGAGTGAGCAATAGGAATCCTATATTCCAATTGTGGCCTGATGTATGTACCGCAGAGGATCTGAGATTTATCTCTATCCATTCTGCGGAAAGAGCGTTTCAGGAAATTTAGGATATGTAAGGCGGTCTTCTCTTGATAAAACGTGGTTGAGAGTGACCTCATGAGCCAGAATCCGAGGACCATATGATGTTGTGCACTATCCATGGACGAGGAAGAGCTGGCCCTAAAGGTCTACGCTGGGTTTCAGCTAAATGATATGATGATGCATTAGTCATCGTTAAATGGGAGTATTTAATCATCAATCAGAGCTGACTGAAAAACTTTAGGGATGGTACACCACAATCACATTGTCGGTGAGCATTGCGAAATTGACTTATTCTATTTGTTAGGTCGTTAGTGTAGATTAGGAAGAGGAGTGGGCCAATAAAAATCCTAGGGACTCCTGGTAGAGATTAAAGATGCTGATGAAAAAGATGAAATTGCACTGAGAATTTGTGGGTCGATAGAAATTTAAGAAGCAGGAAAAGGAGTTTGTCATCTAATAGCCGCCGCTATCTGCTCAGATCAGCGTCACTGTCCTTTTACTTAAGTAAGATATTAAGTAGCATGTTGCCAGGAATGTGGAAAAGAAGCAAATACTTGAATGTGTCGGTAAGTAAACCCCATTTTGACTTTGCGTACCTTAATGACCCTGAGCAGCTACATGGGAGGGCTTTTTACAGCCGCATATCCAATCATGTCTCTGAAAGATCAAACGAGGTAGAAATTAGACAAAGTTCAATCTCCTGAAGTCAGCTGTTTAGGCTTCTTTTGACTATCAAGTGGTTCTCCTGGAGAGCTCATTCCAGCAAATAAACACGATGAGGGAAAGTTTAACTGTCAAAACACCCGCTAGATGAAAGTAAGAGCGGGGTACCGGCGCACGATAGTACATGGTTAATGGTTGTACAAATTGAAACTGAAACTGTACCTGAGGCTTCCTCTCGACGGTGGGAAAATCACTAGACAGCTACTGCCGGCTCAAACTGGAAATCCCCCAGTCAGTAAGGTGCAGTCCCGTCCACGTTCCGCCTGTCTCATTGGGTGCATGAGGTTAATGACCAATCCCGAATAACGGAACGACAATCAACGCACCAGCGAACAATCCACTGGACTGAAACCTGAAGGCCTTATGTTATAGGTCTCTAAATGTTCCCACGTGGGTGCTTCGGTCACAATCCCGTGTTGAATCTACACCACTTTGTCTCTAGTGGGTCAGAGGATCCGGTTAGGGCTCCGAAAAAACCTCTTCGTCAGTGTGGGCTACAGCGAAACGTGTCATGCTCTAAAGACACCCATTTCCGTTGTACTAACAGGCAAATAATAGTGCGTTTCATCCTACCCGATTAGAAGCCTCCTATTTCCGACACGACTTCAATCATAATATGAAAATTTTCTACTTTTGGTTATTCAGAACACGCTATCGTTTTCTTTCCTGTGAGTTATTCCATTGTCATCATATTTTGTTACAGTATTGTACTCCTACGTTTCGGATAAAAAAGCAGCTGACGCTCCACTGAAGTCACTCCGTTTCCATGTAGCGATGTCTTGCACACATGATACTGTAGTTCATAAATCAGCCTCGTGAAGCAATATCTGAACTCCACGGGGTTTTATCTCACGTGAATCAATGTTCAATTCACTTGCACAAACAACTGACACACGAACAAGCAGTAAAATTTGATTGTTTTCATGTGAAAACCACCGTTCTTTATCCGCGCTTTTTAGAGGCACAGTGGACAACAATCATGCGATTCACTTTTAATTTGACAACTACACTTCACCCAATCTTTCTTCTCATATCTATCAAGGTGCATTCTGTCCAGTTATCCCTTAGCAATCATAACACGAATATTTATGAGTAAGACTGCATCAATTCTGGAGTGAATGCTCGTGGTCTGAACGGTTCGTACTTTTTCACCAGTGAATAAGCAACATGGACGGGTAATCAATGGCGTGACCACTTCACTTGGGATTAAAGAACTCACATTGTAGGTCAGTTTACGTAAATATTTGATTATCAACTGAGTAAGCAAAATAATTACCCACTCTGGGGTTGAACGATATTTGCACAAAGTTATCTAGTTTACCGTAGTCCGTCGAAATTAGCATATTTGTCGAGATGGACAAGTCTGGTACATTTGGCGGTTTTCCTGCAGAGTAAAACTCTGTCCAGTTTCTTTATACTTAGTTAAAGGATTTCAAATTGATTCTGCTTTCGACTTGCCTACTAGAACAGCTCACGTTATCGCGAACAACTTTTCGATCAGGTAGCTCACGTGCAATCAAAAATTAACTCTAATAGAGATTGAAATGATCTATCTAACCACAACAATGATTGAATAGTATAAGATGTTTTCCGAAATCCATGGCGTATGAAAAGGTTAGTCACTCAGTGCGGATGCTACTCATAGTTATTTGTAACTTCTATTTATTTACTTCCATCCCCTGATCACTTTATTTGCCCAACTTAGCATGAACAAAGTTGATGATAATAATGTCAATATACACTGAAATTTATTTGCAGGTGTACATCCTACGCCTGCGTCACATCATCATGATTTGGTACTATCCAACACGTGGAGTACAACGTGCGGCCTGGTTACGCACACACATTCGTAACAATCGAGGCATGTTTCATCGTTTGATTCACAAATTTCGCACCATGGATATGCGACCGACTAGGAAAGCGGAGAGGTCCTCTCGTCTGGGAAAACTGCTGCTTCGATTCCCTCTGTTACGCAGTTTGCTCGAACTGATCGGTATCAAACGTGTCATGTGCACGTTCTGTGGCAAGGAAGGGAATCCGGCCAAAAAAGCAATCTTTAACGAGAATTTCACACAGTGTGTGGAATGCGGCGGTTATTATTGTAAAATTTGCCAGGTGGATTTGGATAATATTTGCATGGTATGTCAAACGCCGCTATTCGCTTTGGCTGTCGAGGTGGATTTCGAGCAGTTGTCCTCGGAGGAGGAGTTTGAGGCGGTTTGCGCGCGATATTTGAAGCGTGCAAGTCAGACCACGGTCAAACCGAACGCGAAAGGTAGTAAAACAGCTGTAACTTCTCCGCGAATATAAACACGCACACAGACCATGGAAAGACAAAATCTAAGCAATGGAATACTCAGGCATTCGCTAGCCACACACACACACACTTCAGGGCACACAAACACAAAAGGACCAAGGCATCTAACCAACATTGGCACCGGTTAGATGAGGCGCGACACGCTCTGGAGCGGACAGTTTTCGTTGTATTTATCACATTTTCCGAATCAAACAGTCTGCGTTTATTATACAAACACCTAGCATGCCTGTCCGCTTGCCACGCCACCAGCTATCTGAAATTCGTTCGTTTTTCTGCTCTGGTCCCACCTGCAACACATATCGACCCGAAAGCTAACACATGCACATAATTGCCAATCTTTGCCAGTATATATTCAGTTTGCCTTCGTATCAAATTTATCTGTAACCTTGGTTGGGAGTGAAACGTGAATGGGTCAGTTAAGTGATTGGATATTGATTCCGTTCCATGTAGTATGATCTCAAATGAACCAAAGATTTGTCTGTTTCTTATGAGGATTCTTGGGATAAGTGTAAGAGGTAATGTCTCCAGTGCCATTTGGCCTTTGATGAGCCACGAGCAACCAGTGAGCCAATCCGGGATCTCTGAGATTCCGATAAGAACGATCAGCAACGCTCATCTGAATTTCCTAACTTTTCGTGCAGTCTTCCAGGCTGTGGAAGTTATCCTGTGCTGATAGTTGGTTGCATTGAACCAACTTGTTTCAAGTGGATAAACATAAGAAACAGAAGTAGTACAGATCAGACATGCTGTTTCCCTATAAAATCCCGTACATATAGGTGGAATGTCATATGTATCGACACACTGATAAAGTTGATTGGAACTGGCCATCTTTTTGATTTCAACTTCGCTGCTCAATCTTAAGTTCCTCCAGTCAACCATACGCTGGGAAGCATTGGACGCGAGTTATGCTCTCAACAAGGCTCATCGGTAGTCCATATCTCCTGTCCCCTTCTGGGCTTCGAACTCCGAACTCATCGCACTACTGTGCTGAACCGGCTGAACCGAATTGTCAAATCATGTTTGTCCAAGTGTCGGTTTAAGTTTATGGTGTTTCAAATCTGTATTTTACTACCTACACAAACATTTCCCGCCCTGAAACGCATCACACAATAAGGGACTAAACACAGTTACAAATAATGACGCTTTTGAGACAAGTAAGTTTCATTGTTTGTTAAGGTGACTCAAGTACCATGCGCAGTTCAGTCAAAAAAGGCTTTATGCACCTGAAGCAATCAGAAAGACGTTGAACATAAATGTCACGATCAAACGATTTAAAAGCGTCAGCATAATCTGAGAAAATTAAACGAACGATGCCATAATCTCATATACGATGACGAAGTTACATAATGAACAACTTTAGCAACCATGTCAACAGTGGAAAGAGAACACTTGTAAACAAACTGAACTACGCTATAAGCGTCAGAAAAAGAAGGGCTTTTGTTTAAGAGTATTCTTTTAAAAACTTTCAACTGCAATGAGGTAAAAGTAATCCGCTGATACTCTGAAGAATATTTCTTGGGAATGTGTGTTATTCTAGCAGATTTCCAACAATCAGGTAAACTTCCAAAGAACACAAATTGAAAAACTTAGTAATAGGTTATTGAACTATTCATAAATGGTAATCGGAATTGCATGGTGTGAACTTGGACTCGGGCTGATGCGCCACTGAATAGCACCGCGTCAGGTAGAACCGAGATGAGCTGTGAAAATATATATATAATGCAAACATAATACAATGCGGTAGTCGTTCAACCGGCATCCGCAGCTCATGTCCCAACCACCGAAGTCTCTGGAGCAAGATAGCGGCACTTAAGGGCTGACAGATTGTCTGAGACGAAGATTCTTCGTCGAACCTAATCGTTGGTGATTCATTGTTGCCAACCCATTCCGAGGAAGAAATGAAGACAACGGTGGTCAAAGACACTTAATCTGCGTACGTTTTCTGTGCGGAAGGGCTCACCCTCGTAGCTGTGGAGTAAGACAGTGCGTAAATGCGGATTCTGAAGGACAAAATAATCTCGTGTCAACACAACAAGTGACGTAGGTTGGCGAAAGCCATTTGAACCCTGCGGATACGCGCTGATTTCTTCCGTCAGTCTTCATGAACCAAAACGACCCCCAGATAAGCAGTGATCGGCAATTTTCAACTGGTCACTCATGAGTCTTGAAGACCTTACACTTCGATGGAGAAGAGATCATACCAAACTGCGTGACAGACAACGCTAACTGACACGGGACGTTTTGAGTGCCTTGGGATGGGTGGCGTGGTATAAATATATCTTCAGCATATTCCAAGTCATGGAGGCGATCACCTGGGAGAAGCTCCACCCCGAGAGCTATGCAGTTTTCTAGAACGTGGCTTAGGATTTTGTCCATTGCGAAATAAAACAGGAAGTGAGTAACTGGGCCCTCTTGTTGGATTCCGCTTGTGATGGTAAATGAAGGGGAGATACGAACATAGACCTTGATGAGGCCCGATGTTTTCGAGTATAGAGCTTTATGTACTTCTCAGGCACATCCCTTCCTAACAGACAAGCTGAGAGAGATACTCTGTAAACTGAGTCAAAGGCAGCACGTATATGCAAAAAGACAACGATGGTCGATCTACTGAGCACTTAATGTTGTTCGAGAATCTGACGTGTGGATCGGATTAGACGAAAACGTTTGTGAGCAATACCGGGAGGTGTGACTAGTTTCACCTCGGAAGCGCTTTATGCCCACTAGGTTTCTTTTTCCTCTTTTTGAAGAACAGCCATTTCAGCACTGAGCGTCTTGCGAAGTGTGTTGTATTCATTACCTGGAGAGATACTTCGACGAGTAGCAAGCAGTTCGACAGAACGTGCCGAAACTCAGTGGTTGACAGTGTATTTAGTGAAGCCGCATGCTGTGGTGGCAGACTTATGCGCGGTGTTACGGATATGAGCCTACTAGCTATCAACATTCGAGGATGAGAGACTGTCGAGACCAGTGACCATGTTTTGGTAGGCGGTAACTACGTTTGGTTCGGTCAGTTTCATTAAATAGAGTCGTTTCGAGTGATGTTGCTGTTTTCTACCAAAAGGTAGAAAGAATTTTGCGCGCAGGAGTGCATGGTCAGAGCTATGACATGAGCACCACATGAATTTGCAGTCCGTTATGCAGTTTCTCCATCGATAGCTGATGGCTAGATGATCTATTTCAGTCGAGCTGATCGGATGGAGGTTGCCAGGTGACACGCTGGCACCATGGTCGGTCAAAAATTGGTGCACGAAATGAAGATACCATGTTCAGCGCAGATTTGCAGGAGACGGTCGCCATTATCAGTTCTCTTAACACCGAAACCATGGTGGCCACCAAGTGAAGCTTGTTCAGCATCTAACCTACCCACTTACGCGATCAAGTCGCCGGCTAGTACCACAGTACCAATGTGTCGTCTGTCATGGGAGAATTTGGTGAGCTGGGGGTAGAACTCGTTTTTTTGTGTCGGGACTGAAGTCCGTGAGCACATAGGCCACGATGACGAACAGACAGAGTTTTGGTCACATCAGGAGAAGCTTTAACCAACCCTTCTAGACCGATGGCGTAGAGTCGACCATTAGTTGGAATCCAGTCGAGTAACGCTGGGTCGGCACGTGCACTCAGTGCTATCCCCACGATGGCCTGACCAATGGCGTCTGCCATCTGATCTCCAGAGAGGCGGAGGGTGAACGAGCTTATAGAGTTGGGAGTCGGTGAAACGAGTTGCATTACGGTGCTCTAATCCTGTAGTCGTGTCTCAGTGAGGCAGCAAACTTCCATGGCAAGCGTTTCCAATGTGCGAGCGAGTGACTGCGCGCGTCCATCAATTGGCTGCGCTACACTCTCCTGCTTGTTCGTCACGTTGGAATTTATCGTATTTGTTTCATCCATATATCGGTGCTAATCATGTCCAGGCTCTATAAATATTCTCGTCAGGACATGTTACTATCAAAAACTGTAAATTCTGTGCTACCCACTAATTATTTATATGGTGAGAGTCAAAGAAATCCTTGGATCAAAAACGCAGACGAGTCGCATGGAAGACAGCACTTACTTGCACCCCTCCTGCCAAGATGACTGTGCCATCATTGGTCAGCACTAAGGTTCGCTCGCTATTCGCCAAGATTTCGGATTTAACCTCCATTCTGAACAAAGGCATTAATTCCAACACATGTGTTGTATGTGTACAAGATACTTGGGTGACTCAAAACACAGGACGTAATTATGCGAACAGAAGGTTTCGATTGATGGACAGATGGACAGCAAAGTAGGAAAAAAGGGAGGCCGTGTGACTACTTACATCACTGTTTCTTGATGAGGCAAGTCAGAAGTGATATATAATTATTCTAAAAAATACATTGACTGCTTGTCTGTTCGTTGTTACCCTAAATTTTCCCGTTACAAAAGCACAATCATCACTGTGTATATATCTTCCTCGTGTTCTCACACGGATATCTCTGCTTTCTTTGATTCCTATATTCCGTTTCTAGTTTCATTATTAGATTAAAATCTTCACTTACTTGCTGGTGATTTCAATCACGCAAACATTTCTTCCCGGCTTCCGATTGATCTGTCCGACCTTTCTCATTCTCTTACCAGAGATAGTTCTCTGCTGGACAAAGTGATCACAAACCAACTTATTCTCTCTCTCTCAAACTAATGGCCCCGATTTCTACCAGTGGCCATGGTATTCTTCTTGTTAGNCCAAGGGTATACTCTCGTATTGCTTATCAAGCATTCATACGTTCTACTCAGGTAAAATTTCATCTAAGGGACTTTTCACCTAACCGTATCTCTCTTCTACACCACTCTATTGTGATTGTTCAGTTTTACCTGTTTGTCTGTAACGGTAGAATTACCTCATCCTTTTTAAACTCACTGAGAAGGTACAAAGAAATGGCTTACAAATCTCGTCATACACCAATTGTAAAGCACTATTCTGATTTACTCACGTCCGAGATAACGTACCTAAATGCAATTTTTGCCGCCCAACTTCTACGAACAGAGAACACCAGGCTTTATGGCAAGGTATTCGCCTTCTCTGTGAGCATAACAGAAAACACTTGAATACCTCTGTGGAAATCAACAGCCTTAACNTTTCAAATGATTTATTCTTTAAGCTTCTTCGATCCTGCAAAGCATCCTCAGCTGCAGGCACTGATGGTCTCCCTCCGGCACTTCTGAAATTGGGAGTAGATTCCCTAACCAGTATGATGATACCCGTCGTCAATGAACCCCTATCTTCCTGGTCTACTCCTGATTCTTGGCATCCAGTGACCATTATTCCGATCCCCAAATCCGTGTCCTCAACTGCTCTTGCGAAACGGTTTCGTCCTATCGCGCTGACCTGAGCGGCTCTAAAGTTGAGTGAAAAAGCCATCCTGAGTCGATTGCAGTCAGACACCACAATTCCTCATGACCCCCTTCAGTTTGCATATAGAGCAAACAGATCTACCCCGGACGCCGTATCCACTCTAACGCATTTTATCAGCAAGTACTTGAACAATTTGGCCAAGTTTGTCCGTTGTGTTTTTCTTGACTATTCTGTGTTTGATTCTGTTTCCTGATTATCCCTTTTTTCAAACTTGAATCTCTTGGCACTCCAAGGCAGCTGCTCTCATGGCTTGCTGACTATTTCACACAGAGGGTCCAGTGCACTAAATTAAAAAGGAGGACATCAAAACCTCTTGATAATAATTCTGGTATCCTTCAAGGGGCTGTTCTATCTCCATATCTTTTTTCTGTCTTGATTAGTGATTTTTAGTTCCATCCTCTGCGCACATAAAAAAGTATGTTGATGATGTTGTTTTGCCACAGACAATTTCATCTCCTTCGGAGTTCCATTCTTTTGCTGAGAATCTATCCATCTAACTGTATTCTGTTCAATCTGGTCTCAGTCTTACCATTTTAAGTGCGTAGAGTATATTTTCAGTCTTTCCCGCTCCTCGTTTCCAACAGACTCCGCTACCCTTAACGGTAAGCCAGAATGACCTCAGTCAAGTATATGGGTGTCACCATCGACAGCAATTTTCATTGGTCTACACATATTTACACCTGTATGGGAAAACTGAAATGCTTATCTGTTCAGTTACGCAAACTCAGGCAATTCCGAACCCCACAATCAGTCCTGTCATCTTTCGATCATTAATGCGTTTTACCCATTCTACTCTATTACTCCCCTGTAGTGTTTCCCGGTCTTTTAAAACAAGACTTCAAAACAATTCGCCAGGGTTGATGATCATCAGTCGCGCATCATTAATTCCGATCGATTCATTTATCACGGAACTCCTTGATGGTCACATCAACTGTTGTTTTAAATTTGCTCATAAGATTCTAGATGACCCTTTTCATTCACTACACCCTGATCTATCTTCTTGTCGTTCCCACCCGTCCACACGCTCCTCATTTCGACATTCACCCTCTAGCACTAGTTATAAAAAATCCCCTGTACTCTACCTGGCCCGACTCCTAACCCAAAAGGAACAGGTTGCAAGTGGACTACGTCGAAATTTTGTACACGAACCATTATCACCGACACTCCTTAACTTTCGTTTTTGTTATCATTATTATTAATATTTCATTCTGCGTGACGAACAGTGTACGTGTATAATGTAAGCATATAAGCTTACAAGTTATACACATACAAATACAGTGTTGCTTACGCCTCAACTTGCATAAGCGTTGGAACGTTGAAAGTTGCTAACTTCAGATGCGACCTGGCCACAAGTTTCCCGTACTGTTTCCCAAACAGCCATGAACGGGTGCTTGTTTCTTTCGCATATGCACAAGACCGTAACTTCTTCCGTTGTCTTGGGTAACACACTGTCGGAGACTCTAAATAATGGGTGGCAAAACAGAATAGGAAAGTTCAACTATTTTGGAAAGGAAATAATGTGATTTGTTGGTGCAGTGACGCGGAAATCTGCGAATCCGATCACCAACATCTCGGTCATAAAACGCATAGTCCGTGAGAGCAAATTACCGCTTGCCTCGATGGAAGAAGGGGATAACCTCGGGATCTCCATCCGAGGCTTTGGCTAGAAAGCCATACCTGCAAGACACCAGGACGGAGCTCAGAGAGACCCGTGCCCAGTTCACCGGATCATATGCCCTTTGGACGGGATCAAACGTCCAGGGTGTCAAATACATCNCCATTCCCAATAGAGCTCATGACCACTGCCACAATCAGGCAGTTGAGCGTGATTTGTACTCCTCTCCTTGGTTGGTTTGGAATCAGGGGTTTTAGCCACCTCCCCTAGGTGAACTGTCAGTGGTTCACAGACCCGGTTATAACCCCAGATTTTGGCTTTTCGTCCTCCGACTTTGGTGGGAAAACACCTCCGCCACGGGGATGCAGTGATTACGGCTTCCTAAGCAAAGGCTACCTGAGACGCTTGGTCATACAGGAACATTTCTTGAGGTGAAAGGGAAGGGTGACCAACCATGACACAAGACACCCATCCCGATCATACTAAGGCTGTGAATACAGCTAGTTCTATTCAGAGAATCATGCAAAAAATGTCGCAAGAGTCAAGCGATCTTTGGTCCATTCTTCGTTGTCGAGTAGACAACGAAGTGGACGGTTTTAATTACTTTCGTGCATTCAGCCAATCGGTTAGATTCTACTTGAGACCACAAGATTGGTCGAGGAACTCTATCTCCCGATTGGTTACTTGAAAGCTGTATCGTGGTGCGTGCGTACTGGTTGCATTATCACCACATTAGCCATCTCTCTCCCAGACTGTGTGACACTATCAACAGGACGGGAGGTAGTTAATTGGTTTGATATACCCTATTAGATTTGAACTTCTCTTGGAGATCATCGGTGGTTCACTTCAAAGGATGGAAATGAGGGTGGTATGAAATTCAGTGCAAATAGCAAATGAACGAGTCAGTTCTCTTGGATCCGGGAAAGAGAGCGTGAGTGCATCACAAAGCTGCTTCCATATTGATCACATCGCAACGGTTCGTCTTCAGTTTCAATATATATATCCGATTTAGGTGCGTATCTCCATCTGAGTTGATACTGATAGTTGTTTCACGCGAATTCACCTGCCAGTCACAGAAATGTTAACCAGCGTCTAGTTAATTTGACCAATAACTAATATGGATGACATTTTCTCTTCTCCCTCTCAACCTCACCTTTGTTTATCCGGATCAATTTGTTATTATCTCTCCCGAATAACACAAACCTGGCTACGAATAGATAATTTATAGGGTGTTTTGTAGATATCACAAAAATAATTCTATTTTATAATGCTACTTAAAATACCACAGTTCGAAGTGATTTCAAGAGGCAAAGTACGCATGCCAGATAAAGATCACAGAAACAGGACGAATGGGCCACAGTGGCACGGGAGCCCAGAGCAAACCGTTCGGATATGACTAAAATCGATGAAAGAAGCACAAAACTGGAAGGACGCTTTTCGCATAAGCCGAGTCGAAAAGGGGCTAGTGTGAGGGATTGTGAATATCTGCATAGGGTTGAATGATAAGCTAGGAGGGAGTCACAACAAGGAAAAATATCCCTGAGAAGATGAGGAGTTAACGAAACTTCAAACGAAATTCAATCCTCATGGCCGACTGCTCGATTTCGATTGCATTAATGTGGTCAAGCGACTAGCGCAATCACAGAACGCCTGAATGAATTCGCCTGCCCTTGCAGTAGGTGCGTTTCGCCAG